ACCACACACTCTTTTCACCAGAGACTGCTCATATCTTAATCGTTTGTTTATCCATCGGCGTGATAACAAACCGGGAGTAGACAGTGAGCTTGTGAATGAAAGGGAGAAGAACAAGGAGACTCCCTGCTCATAATGCCTCTTGGCGTGAACACCGTCCGCATAGTGAGAAAGCATCATGAAGTCATTAAAGCATATTTAGTTTTAGGCAAAAACTCGCTTACTGCATAATAGTAAGTAACAACGTTAAAAAGGTAAAACAATTCCGCAGTTGCATAAGGCGATTCTTACTCAAATGGTTTCTTACAATACCTAAGCCTATTCATTCATATTTGCGTAAGTGAAATCTCCTCGAATCTCTTCCTAACACATACAAATAAGCCTGACGGGAGTCCTATGGCAAATAAAATGTTCTTTTCCAACAGCACTCCTGAGGCGTTTTCGGACCTTTTGCTGATGGTCGCCGCTCGATTACGTGCCTACTATACCTATGCCGTGGAACGGAGCAACAACGGAGCAAAGAAGACCCCTACTTTGCTCTTTAATCGGACCAAAGCAGGTTGTTCCCGTCCCCATTTCCTGTTTAGGGGCCCTATAAGTGATCTAAAATGGCTTTATGTTAATGGAACTAAGCTGCCATATCCACTGACTGACTGCAACTATGATGGCGTTGTCAGTGATTAAACCGAGCTAATTGTCTGAACATGTTACCGGACGCTGGGGATGCAAGCTAGATCACGATAACACAATGGACAGAGACAAACTTCGTATGCGATCTCCAGCTTTTTTGGTTCGCTTTGGAATAAATAGTAAAAAGGGGTAAATTGTCAGGCACACTCACTCCTTTTGCAGTTCTGTCAGGTTAGCTTCTGTTCGCCTTAAGCGGACCTCAGCTTCTGTTTTCGCTTCCTCCGCAGTCGCCAGTTGGGTGCGAAGATGGTCCACATCGGCGGTGTAGACCTCACGCATACGACTGATGTCCGCAGTGTAATTGCTCCGCAAAGTTGCGGCCTCCTTCGCTGAAGTGCGATTTTGGGCCTCAAGAATCCTCACCTAGAATTACAAAACAGCGCCCGACGTTAGCTCTCAGGTAAATCTCCAAACATCATTATTGGGGGTTTTTATCAATTCTGCATATCATTTACGTGATGACTCCGGTCAAGAAATAGCAAAGTGATCAAGTCAATACGGATAATAAAAACGGCAAAGGTAGTTTAAGTAGTGCACTTCATGTACCCCTAGTCTGACCATTTTGTCCTACGGAAACGATGTTTATAGGATTTTTGGGGATGAGAAAATAGAATAGGCAGTGAAGAAAATTTGTAGAAGTAAGTGCAAAGTAGAAACATGTAATTGAATTTGTTTTCCGCGGCCGCTGGGAGTAATTTGGTCATTATGTAAGTTGAAGGTGTGGGCGGCGCTTCGCGCCGCGAACTGTACTAAACTAACTCCAGAACGGTAGGTTGGACCTCAGGCAAGTTGAAGTTGACGACAGGAATTTCAAAAAACCTGCAGTTATGTAATTGACTTTTTTCGCAATAAGTTAAACGATAATGCAAAGTTAGAAAACTTACAGATTTAAATCAACAATATTTCTAAATACAATAAAATAAAACTGCACCTAGCAGTTATTAAGGTATATTCCACTGCCTATCCTAATTCCCCACACATAAAACCTCTATAACCACTGTTTACACACAAAAAAATACTGGAACTTGAGGTGTAGGAGGCGCACTACTTGAACTACTATTGCCAGGTAAATTTCCAAACACCTTTATTGGGGTTTTTATCACTTCTGTGTATATTTACATGATGACCTCGGTCAAGCAAATACGGATAATAAAAGCCCTGCATAGAACACACCTGAGTTGGCTACACTTGTAATAAGGTTCTGCCTATTTCCAAGCGCCCTCCTATTTTTCTGGAGGCCCCGAGGGGCATTCAGTCGAAACTCGACCCAGAGTGATCCCTCGTGCTTCCTGACTGTTTGGATCGATGCTAGTTAGATCCGCTCAGATTGTCACCTGTCTAGAAACTTTTGTCCAGGATTTTATCTGTCCACATGAGTCCCTACCTCTCGTTTTGCTCATGCGTTGACTGATATCAAAAGAGTTTATGTGTATCGCCATCGCGTCAACCCACATTCTTGGGCAACGACAAGACCCACAGCATGACCATTATGCGCACCATTGAACTCAGTGCGCACTGATAACCATCTGAATCGAGCGTTACTATATCAACTAAGTGCTCATACAGGGATGCGGCATTTTGCCCTGTCTTTTTTCGCCAGCATAATCAGGACCGGCGAGCCCTCTGTGTTGCTATAATCCTTCGAATTCCGCAGAATTGGCACATGCATCCGGTACTTTTGCAGTCGTCCCTATTCGGCCAACTGTTCTGCCAGTTCGCCGACTGTGCTTGGCGTGTGTGCAAGTTATCAGGCACGGTCGACATAGTATTTCAAGCGGGATATATTCACTGGCATACTTATGCTGAAATTGTTATAAATAAACAACATTTATAAATACAATAAATAAAAATGCATATAGCAGTTATTAAAGTATATCCTACTGCTTATCCTAATTCCCCACCAAGAAAACCCCTATAACCAAGGTATCCGTAGTACAAAGTGCTGGGGCTAGGGGTATATGAGGTGCAATAATTAAACTACTGTTACCAGGCCAATTTAAAAACACATTTATTCCGAGGTTTATCACTTCTGCGTGTATTTACTTGATGACCCCGGTCAAGCAATAGCAAAGTGATCAAGCAAATGCGAATAATAAAAAACTGCAAAAACACGCCTGATTTGGCTACACTTGTGAGGAAGTTCGGCTCCACGAAACTCGGACCGCAGTGATCCTTCGTGCTTGCTGACGGTTGGGATCAATTCTAGTAAGCTTTAGTTTACTTTTTCAAGCTAGTTGATTTTAGTTTTAATTAGTTATGATTAATTTAGTTTGTCCCAATATTTGCATAATTGCACAAACATTACATTGTTTAAATAATTATTTCTGTTTCTTTCCAGCTTTTAACTGCTTTCGTTTTGTACAGGGTGTCCCAGAAGTAACTGACCCTTTTGATTTGCTAATGAAACGA